TTGGCCTCTGATAAAGAAGTAAAATGTCAGCGTAGAAACTATGTCACAAAATGCCATTCTTTCCAGAAATCAGGGCATGATGAAGATTGGTGTAAAGAGGGGTGGCCAACTCCCAAAAGACTGCAATCTACTTACAGAATTAAAAACTGGCAGTGATCTACCCCCGTTTTTGTGGGGTTCAGGTCAAAGTTGTTGACCTTTTTTTAGGGAGGAGGAAAGTCCTGTTTTTAAGGTTTTTTGGGGAGAAAGAGGAACAGCCACTCACCAACAAATCACTGGCAAGACTAAAGGCCTCACTGAGTAAACTCCATATCCCGTTCTGCATATCCGTGGAGGGCAGGACGAGGGGACAGGGAAGGATTCAATTTTAGCAACGCCAAGGAAAGTGACCCAGTGATCGAACGCAATCTACTAAAACCTCCCGGGGATCTACCAGTAGATCGCGATCGACCTGTTGGACATCCCTGGTGTTAAGGAAAGCAGTGTACTGTGTGATACAGGTTCATCACAAAGGAGAAAAAGCACCTCTGCTACATAGCCCCTATTGGGAAACCAATGGTATCTGTAAGAGACACGTTTTATGACTTTGCATGCCAACAGTTGTGGCATTCGTACGGAGCCCCCAGTCTTCTCACGGACCATTGACCGTACACCACTAATCCGCTGCCACCAACAAGGTTCTCTCCAGTAAATCACTTAGACTCAGTCAGGTTCTTAAGTTAACAAAGAAGAGTGTAGTTTATTGCAAACACAAATATTGGGCCATTATTAGTGGTGATGTGGTAGTGTTATATTGTATTATTTATGCAAATTGATTTTCTCTGGAGTTAAAGATCTGACTGGGACAAACCTTGTTATGCTGAGCTCGTATTTTGCACAATTTGTATACGGTGTTTGTTTGATAATGTGTGGTTTGCTATGCCTAATAAAGGATTGACTTTTTAACGCAAACACAAATAAACTTTACCTGCATTCAAAACGTTGTTACTCTTTACCTTCTTAGTCTTATTTTAGTCTAACTCTTCTACCTCCCCTCACAAAAGAACCAACTGCACTAACTGTCTCTCTGTTTCCAACTACCTTCCAACTGCTTTCCCAACTGCCTTTCTCAACCAACCAACTAACTCAATCTCGGACTAAGCCCTTTTATAAACAGGTAGGCTCCGCCTCTGACTTTTCTATTGGTCTACCTATTAACCCTTTCTCTCCCCCTGTACAGACATTTCCAAAAGAACGGGCAAACGCCACAACAGTCAATTGGTATTTAGGTACCAAGTCATTGTTTTGTGTAAGCGTTTGCTGAGCCCCCCAAAAAAAAATTCAAGGAGGGGACCAGAACACCCCCAAAATCCACAGCGGATGTGTGCACATGCCATGAGACATGCTCACCTTAACTGAGCAGCCCATGTGGCATTCGGGTGGCATGTCAGCATGTTGGACGACATGTGCTCACAGCAAGAGCAGATTGTGCAATGTAAGCTTGATCCTTGTGTATGTTGTGCGGCGGCGCCCCCTTAATCATGGCGTCAAGGTGGCGCTCTTGAGACTGAGGGAGGGAGGCAGGTGGGAAGTCAGGCAGGTGGGTGGGTGATGGGGGGAAAAATATTGAAGGGACTGACCCCCTAGAAGAAATTTATTAGGGGGCAAGGGACCACGGACTCCTACAGTTGGCACCTATGCTAAGTTCCTCTGCTCTGCCTCCATGGTCTTAGATAGACAGCAGGAGGCAAGGGTGGTTTTGGGCTCAGTGCCTGCTTCCCACAGGTGTGGGAACAGAATACTCAATAATATTTATGTATGTATGTATGTATGTATGTATGTATGTATGTATGTATATCCCACCCTTCCTGGCCAGAGGCGGTCTCAGGGCAGCTAACACTGGTAAATTACAATAGAAACATAATAGGGGGGAAATCCAATTTAAAATACAGGTTAAAATGCAATTTATAATGCAGCCTCATTTTAAAAGTAGCTGATAAATCAAGACCATAAGGGGAGGGAAACATAAGGGCCAGACTGAGTCCAAACCAAAGGCCAGGCGGAAAAGCTCTGTCTCACAGGCCTTGCGGAAAGATGTCAAGTCCCGCAGGGCCCTAGTCTCTTGTGACAGAGCATCCCACCAAGTCGGGGCCAGTACTGAAAAGGCCCTGGCCTAGTTGAGACCAATCTAACCACCTTGTGACCTGGGACCTCCGAAATGTTGTCATTTGTGGACCTTAAGGTCCTCCACAGGGCATACCAGGAGAGGCGGTCCCGTAGGTACATGGGTCCTAGGCCACATAGGGCTTTAAAGGTCAAAACCAGCACCTTAAACCTTAAGCTGCTGGCCAGATCCAGCAGGCTCTTCTTATGTTCTTACATCAGCCCGTATCCCCAGCCCCATCGAATAACATCTCACATCTCAGGTTACAGACGAAGCCGTCTCACCTCTGCAGCTACCCTGTCTTGCGATCTCAGCTGGAGATCATAGAATCATAGAATCATAGAGTTGGAAGAGACCACAAGGGCCATCGAGTCCAACCCCCTGCCAAGCAGGAAACACCATCAGAGCACTCCTGACATATGGTTGTCAAGCCTCTGCTTTAAAGACCTCCGAAAGAGAGGAGACTCCCACCACCACTCCTTGGCAGCAAATTCCCACTGTCGAACAGCTCTTTACTGTCAGGAAGTTCTTCCTAATGTTTTAGATCTTGAGCCACCACTGGCTTCCCTGCAGGAGACCGATATTGTTCTTGGTGACTCAGTTTCACAT